TAATGCAAGAATTTTAAAAGAATACTCACTGCAAAAAAACTTAACTTTTTAAAGTTTATTAAAATTGTAGTACGTTTAGTATATTTCATTTTTTTTTGTAGTCAAATGATACCTGGTAACACTGAATAATAAAACAAACCGTTAAATGATGCTTTATTGATTTTAAAAATAAAATGTCGCGCTATCTTTTAATAACAGTTTCTCAAGACAAACGAAATTAGCACAAAAAACATCTATAAATCAAAACTACAAGGAGAATAGGTTGTAAACAGAATATATTTACATTTGCGCTGCAACCCACTATATGAACATTACCAGCCAAAATGCATTTCAATCGAGTATGAAAGCATAAACTCTAGTGACGTAACACGTGGTTTACTTATGACATCACAGATTAACCTTGTTCAATGAGAGTCTTGTCGCTTCGCTGTGGATTACATGGCGAAAATGCCCCTGCGTCAAACGCTCAAATGACTACGGTTAAATATTAACGTCTATATGGTTTAAATAGGGCTGTTCCGACAATGTCGTTTAAAGGACGACGCATATACAAAATGCAATAAATAAATAAATTATTTAAGAACAAATAAATAAAATGAAACAATTGTTCTATAGTAAAAATGTAAATATATGGATTGAACGGCATATTTTTTTTTTTATAATCATGCCGGTATGAACGCAAATTGGTTACATCCATATTAGCAAATCAGTTACATCTATATTAAACATGAAGCCCTTACCGATTTGCGTTCATACCGGCATACATTTTTTTTTAAATGCCGTTCAATCCCTAAACAATACAATGTTGATTGTACTCTATACGAAAAATATGTAAAGCGTCATAATTAATTAAGTCTCTTTTATCTTTCAGGTTCTACCATTCTACATGCACTTCTAAATGTATGTGTTTCTCTCAACTGATTTATGTCGTGGAAGACAGCTAAGATCGTAATCAATAATAATATATTTTTTAACTTGGAAAAAAAATGTTATTCTGTCTCTTGTTATCTACGTTGTATTTGTATTAGGTAAAACATGAGATATAATAAGATATTTCAAAACATCAAACGTCTCTTTTTAGTAGAATATTATATTGTATGGACATCATAGGAAGGGAGATAACTCGACAATAATGTTATTACTGATGTTAATATAAAATATCCTTATTAACAACGGAGGCTTATTGTCCTTTGTTATTTGAAGGCCTTAACTATTGGTTAAATAAGGTGTTAGTCAGGCCATCTTCAATAAGATTCATCAGTTTGGAGATATGATATATCAAACTGTAATACATTAGTCAGGACGTTTTATTTTACCAAGTACTGAATAATTGTTTATTAATGATTGATAATTTGTCCTGCAATTTGATATAAATGGTTCAGGGCGAAAACACAAACAGATGTACGTATCTATATTTTTGCCAGCATATGTGAACGATTCCATTTATTTTTTTGTTTATTGTAATTGATCCGATCATAATCTGAAACAAATCTTAAATTAAAAATAATAACTTCATTAGTGTCATTTGCATGTATTTTAAGTAAAGCTTGCATCAAATGTGTATATATGATTGTTTGATTAAACTATGCTGATGTAAAATAAATATGAGTTTATCGTATGTTTTAGCTGGTGAGATTGGTAATTTCTAACAAAATATGCCTCAAATTAAAAATGGACGGATGAACGTATCACACAACAATGTGATGCAACTTTAAAATTTGGTAATAAAAACAGTATGACAAAAATGGAGTACACATCATCATATAGCTGTTTTATCCTTCTCCTCGGTGATGATAGGAATCAGTAACATTGACATCTTAATTGTTTACACTAATGTAATAACACAGTGGCAGGTGCGTAACACCCTTACTTTATGAATTTTACAATTAAGAGGAGTAGTGTTTCAAATTCAAAGTCAGATACTTAGAAAAAAACATTTATTTTATGAACACTGTAACTCCTTCAAAAAGATAAATGTTTCCATCTAGGTTACGACAAACTTCGGGGACTAAGCAGGTATATTTAGTGTTGTTACAAAAATATATGTTCTTTTATGTAATACAACCAATATTACCTAATCATATTACTTAAAGTTAACTGTTTCCAGTACTGAATAACGGACAGTTTATACTACACACCCAAACAAATTCTAAACCAATATATGAGGCCTGCTTGATTGATTGATTTGATAGGATTTTACTACGTTCTTTTGTCGACTGCGTCCACTAACAAAAGTATACTAACAAAAGAAAATAAATATATTTTTTTAACGATGATTAATGAAAACGATAAATAATCATTTATGTCGTTGTACAGTTTGTAAAGCTATGTTTGCGGTATTGGATAAATCACACTAAGTCTATACTATCTACTGTGTAATTTTTATTCAATGTTTTGAACAATCTTAACACTAATTTTATGAAAAATGATAAAATGCAGCACACCACCAAGTTGCAACAACAACAACAAAAACAAGCTTATACCGAAATATCAACATATTATGAAGAAAGGGAATAGTTACATATCCTTGAAACAATAAAAAATAAATAAGACCAAATGTTCAAAAACGTAAGCGTCGTCTGCTTCATCGATGACACCCGCCATGTGACGCTATGTCACATGCAAGTATAACAACTAGGGTAGTGTCATAATTCGATTATCAACATTTATTTAGCACAAGGAATAGCAAATACTAAAACATATCATAATTGCGTCAATTGTCCAAAGACTTAAACTGAATGAAAACCCTTAACCTAGATCTTATTGCAAACACAGCCATTACCAAAATGACCCCTCCCCTAAAATGTTCCTGCAATTCCGTCACCATAATACAATCTATCTGCACTTGCTTAATTTTTATTTGTCCTGAATTTTACGGTCTTAAATTCATATTAATGTCCATAGGTGACAATAATCCGTATAAATATTATGCATAATACATGAGGTAGTTTTTAATTTAGAATAAAAGTGTATATCTGCAGCTTATAAACTAAAATGGTCGTTTCTAAAGATCAATCATTTCACCACCCAAATGCTTCAAAATCGAGTCAGTCTCAAAATCATTTTTATACACAGCAAGTAAAGGAGATTGTTTTACCTTGTCGAACATAGTAAAACAAAAACAGTTCTGTAATTTCATTCTAAACATTTGCCCGTGTTTTGGTAGAGTTATACATGATTTTGATTATATAAATCACTGCTATTGATACAATTTTTTGTAAGTATTAGCCATCATGATATATCTTATGTGATTAAACGCTTTCGAGATATCAATAAACGGGCAATCTGAGGCTGGTTATGGTTCTTTAGGAAATTGGGAGGTTTTATTACACTGTTCGTTGATTAGCACACACCAAATACTCACTAAGTATAAGTATCAGCTAAAGAGTTGTACTTCCCCTTGCACATGAATAGCATTGTTTTACCAGGCATAAATGCATCGTATAAAATGTCGCTCCATGTAAATATAAAATGACCATGTGTTTTAAAAAGATATTTTGACATGGACAAAAAGTGAATAAAATAGTAACATGTTTAATTATTAGATGAACAAATGAACATAACATAACTGAAAATGTCTAAGCTTAGCTGTAAACAGTTAATACCAATATATTATTTAAATGTCAACAACCTATTTTAATAATTCAACTTAAATTTAAAAAAAATAAAAATAAAAAAATGAAATGTACATGTTAAGACAGCTATGATGTACGTAAACTGTATTTAAGTTAGGAGAGGGCTTAATTAAGTTGTAAGAACTTGTGCCCAATCCTTTTTGTCATTTTCAAGGCAATAAACATATGTTTAAACCAATGTCAAACATGTTTATTGACAGTATTAAGTATCAGGTGAACAATATTTCACGCTGTTCTCAGAATTATTATTAATTCGTGTCATTTTGGATAAAACATAAGTAACACATTACAATTGAAGAGATTATACACATAATAAATACGTCAACAGGAAATTTCTTAACTTATGTGGAAACAGTTTAATTTAAATTCCAAACATGACATCAAAAGTGAAAAGAAATGCATTAACACTATTTAACACAGTCCACTGAAGTATCAACAAGTGTAATTCTTTATCTAACATAAGTGATATAATGCCTTCGTCCATCAATTTAAAGCTTTCTAAAGGCAACTTTTCATAAAGGAGTATAATGTCAAGTATTCTATGGGGTGAGAACCAGTAAAATCGTTGTGTCACAGCTTTCAGATGTACATGTAAACGTTCAAAGTCAAAAAGGGGTTATCTCTGAGGTTTTTTTCTGAAGTAGGCCAGCGATAGATATGACTAGCGGAGACCTGACTTATCTATTCTATAAATATATTTTTTACCGGACACGTTTGTCACTCATAGTTGTATTATATTTGCAATGAATTTGTAGTCAGGCTGGTGCTCAAATAATATCATATAAGAGAAGTGCTACAAGATACTTTAAATTTTCAAATCATTAATAAATCAACTTGGTATTGAAGTATAGTCTTGCAAACTTTGATTAACAGAAAAGTCAACAGAGTTGTGATCGAAATTGTAATTCGAACTATAAATTGACGAATCAGGAACAATTATGAAGGAAGTAATGCCACTTCATTGAATGGTCTACACATTATTTTTTTTCCTTTTTTTAGTCACATTTTGTCTCAAACGTTATAGGACTTTAAAAGAGTTCTATACATTATATACAATTAGTAATGACTTTTCAGGAGAGTGAACAAAATAAAATAACATAATACAATTCGTCACCTGAGACTCGAGACAGTTGGTCCATCTATTGATAATTTGTATTACAAATTCACATCGTTTGGCGTGTGTTCCTTTAACCGTCAAGGCAATACATGGTAAACTGTGAATGGATACCTGGCGCATCGCTACAATAGTGTGCGCTTCAGATTTTTTTTCTTTTTTTTCTAATAGTGAAGTGTTCATGTGGTATTTCCGGCCTCCTAGCCACATTATCTCCCACTTGACACAGAAAGATAAGTCACCAGCCAGATTGGTATTGTTTCAAAAGGACGCTTTTAAACCTTCAGCCATTACCTGCAATCACCAGTGATTCACGTAAGTATTGTGTAAATATCACAAAATACGAAAACAAAGTACTGTGATATAATATTAAAAGAGCTGATGTGTAGTAGTGGCATTTCAGGTACACTTTTTAAGAGCACGAGTTTACTCTTTCATGGTTGCAAAGCACAACGTGTATATTGTCCATAGCGGACATACTGTTACCGTAATGCAGTTGGTAGATATTGATTTAAACACCAAATAAATCCTTAATGTAATGCGTCATCACCAATATCTCAACATTGGTTGTTTAAACATCATTGTTTCACACAATTAAGGATTGAATCTCGCTTTGGCCGTTTCATGGGGTTGATGAATTGGGTTGGTCTAATCTAATGAACTGCGAATGACCATGAAATCGATTAAATCAAGATTCAAACCTTATATTTCAATCAACGGTTTTTTTCTTCAATAATTGGAACTTGTTAATTCCATTCTTATAGTTTGTCCCAGGTTCTGAAACTTGTCCAAGTCTACGTATTGACCGTCATTGAAGGACCATCATACAACATGATGGTGTACGTTGATAGTTCAATACAGCCAAATTGTATAGAATCAAAACATAAAACCATATTTTAAATGTAATATTAATTGTTTGTTGAAAATTCAAAAGATATCAAATTTTCTGACGCATCATCGCGGAAGAATAATGTCTAAACGCGTTGCGCATGCTCAACTGCGGGTATACGGCAGCCATTTTTTTACAAGTTGGAAGTGAAAAGCCGTTTTTAAAGGTTGTATAACTGAATGTCGAATTAGACAGGAAACAGACGTGGCTTGAAAGAACGAACCAATTTGATATGGCAGTTGGCTGTTCGACTGCATTTCATACAAGTCGGGAACACATGGATCTACGTTGTTTTCGATTTGTACCGGGGGGTGATACTGACACAAGAGGCAGAATGGGCAGCTGGAATGAGAATGTCTAGGGCAGTACAAGACTTGTCTGAGCTGATTATTTTTTGCTGATTGGTCGTTTTTGGTTGTTTAAACAATTTCGTGTGTAGCTTCAATAAAAATGGTAAATCTCTTCTGAGGTTTTCATACGCACAGGCAATGTTGATCTGGTCAAATTCATCGGCAAATGAAACATGTTACATTTGGTATAGTTGCAATGAGTCCAATTTGAGTAGAAATTGAAATATTGGATGTTTAAACATCAATTTCTAGACACTTAATGGAAAATTTGTGTCATGCTTGAACTCTTAAGATGTGTATAAACAAGTTTCTGTTGTCATTTGAAAGACGTGTCTGATCGTGTTTAGTATTTTACAATTTAATACAAGTGTGTCAAAGCAATTGTTTTCTTCGTCATATCTAGAACTAAAACTCGTTTGAATGCTATGATGACGAAATGAGACTTAAAGCTGTACTTAAATTGTACATATAAATAATCATAGTCTACCTCTATTCGAGTGTCGTATACATACATGGTAGCATTTCGTTCAACTTGCGATTCAATTACATTGGAAAGAGTTCATCAAATATTGTAATGGGTGCAGCAAGTATTTTGGTCGCTTTTTCGCCTTAAGTAGAGGGCCCAAAGCTGCCAGTGCATCAAGCCATATTATTCTGTTCCGAGGAAGACATCGGTGTGACAACTTCCTGTAGTGAAAGGTCAAATGAGTCCAATTTAGGGGGCTGTGTTGTAACAAACTGCTGTGTCATAGAAGGGCATTGTTCCTATTATGTACCAAAGTCAATAATTTATTCTATTTCTTAACTGCTCTGCAGTGCATTCGCATACAAAATCTAAAGAATATTTCAATTAGTAAAAAAAATAACATTTTTAAATATTATTACCTCAAAATGTCACATTACCATTAGCTGGGTTCCCAAAGATATGGGAGTACCAGGAAGTGAAAAGGCAAAAAAAAGCGTTTATTTCTACCACCTGTAGTAATGATAACTCATTGTGAGAATGTACAAGTATAATTAGGAGCATTAGACACATCCTCCAGGTAGTTTGCGACGCTAGTTTGTTGCAGGGGAAGGCAACTCTTTAAAAAAAAAAAAAAAAAGACCAAGGGTAAGGTAGTTCTCTGGCAAATGATATCTTCTGCCGAAAAATTGCATAAAAATAACAAGCCTACTGTATCAATAAATACAATATGTCTCGCTCCCCCGTTTTCCAGTTTAATAAGGATGTGTGTTGATTGCATCATGTAATCTACTGATAGGCCGGGTTTCTTCCAGTGTCGACTGACACTGTTTCTTCTCAATGTTTTATTATACAGGTACAGGAAATTGTAATTCAATAAAGTGAGTAAACGTCTTTCCCTGCATGCGCCCCTTTTTTCATTCTGAATTTTTCCTCTTTTCAGTTCCTGCTAAGCTATAATGTTATAATATGTTCTGTTATAATAACCATCCAATACTACAGGAGAACAGATACAGCCAAATAGGATTGACGTTTAACGTTTATTGTGTATATAATGAATCGGAAATTTCATATACTAATGAATATTTGTTCTTTTTGTATCGATTATGTGTCGTGTCGTTTTACGTGATAGGAATGTGTATACGCATCAGTGGTGTTTAACTTATCTTAAACCGCTTTGGACTTTGATATAAAGCCCTGTGTGGCATTTAATGTTATTGTATATGTCTGACGAAAACAAAGGACCACTGATACTTCAAAGTAAAACATATATCATTTCGTTATCCAACATCTGACAATATCTTCTTTTAATCTTGAGTGTCCGGACTGAATAGGGAATGATCGTCTAAAAGGGTTTACACGTTTTATGTCATTGCAATTACCATTTTTGAATAGATGCAACGATAAAATAAATCTCTTAGATCTTTTTAATATATCCACACTAAGGTAAAGATTACTGCTGCTATCTCCAGACTGACAAATTGAAACTGCGTCATTGTTCTCAACTCTTTTTAAATTATTAGTTTTATTAAGTCACCAAAACGAGTTTAGGGACTATTTCTTCATATTGTTATCCTTTCTTTCTTCTATTCTTTATATTTCACCTAATAGTCTCTTTAAATTTAATCATACAATACTAACCGATTACAGAAAAGCGGAATATAACATTCACGGAGAAATAGCGAACTTATATTAGCAATGTTAGCAACAACGGAAAAAGCTATCAATAGTTAATGTAATACAAATGTATATAATACACATGCATTTTTTTCGTACATATTAGTATTGATAAAGGCATGATAATTACGAGCATAGAGTGTTAAAACATCAGTTTCCAGTAAAGAGTGGATATATTACAAAAAAATATTATGGCATTCAACAATATTTCTTTGTTTTACAGTTGTGGGATCGCACAACGTTACACGATGTGCGGTGTGCGCACGATGTGTGCACGAAGTGCGAACGATACAAAAATTGGACGATCATTGCTTGCGCACATTTGTGCGGACGATCGATGAACGTTGTGCGATAACAATCGCGGTTGGTGTAAATTGAGGAATGGCTTAACAATAAATACTGTTTCATGATTAAACATAAACACTTGATTTTTTAGTATGTTTCTATATTCAAACTACATCTATAAGCTTTTCTTTCTGTCTATACTTTCTTAAATTTAGAAATGGTGATTTCGGTGTTGTTTAAAGGACCTTAATCGACACATGTAAAATTACAATACAGTCTCGGCAACACAGGTAAACATAGCCACTTTAAACCTGGACCGTAGTTTTCCCCCGCCCGGGGCACTTACGTAACTCGCCAATGTGTGAAAACCAGGTGAAGGGGAATTATAGACCAAAGCGAATGCAAATAACAAATATTAATCGTCTAGTTGTGTTTTCATAACAGTCATACGGTATCACATATCAGCTCTATATGTGTCAGACAAAGGCCAGGTAAAATCCGGTCACTCATCAAATTGTTGTTTACCTGTTCTGTTCCCGAGGAGCCAAACCAATTCTTGACAGTACAACTAGTCGAACGGTCACTGTATACCTTGTACATAATCTTAATTTCGTATTTTTTTTCATTCCGTAATATTGTTCAACAAATTGTACCTTATCGCACAGATGTGCAGAGAGAAGCGCAGAACGTGTCGAACGATTGTTAAATCGCACAGTTGGCGCACCATGTGTGGACGATGTGCGGACGGTGTGTGAACGATGTATGCACGGTGTGCGAACGGTGTTTTTGGTGCGTTGTGCGGTCACAAAACTGTACCTAAACTCCATCTACCTAATACCGATGTTACAGTTACACTTTAGTATGCAACTTATTAATGTCGTTTTGGGGGATATTCTTTTAGATTTGACGCTATATTAGTAGACATTCTTATTTTATAGCCTTCAACATAAATCACATATTTTAGAAACGAAACAATACTATCAATTTGTAAGAGAATTACATTTACACTGGTACCGATATATTTTTAGTTGTATGTTACTCATAAACAAGCAAATTTGCAATATATACCTAATTATTTGTGCAATATTAATAGAATGCGATTATATATATTTTATATTAGTATAACCACGTTTGTTTGTTCTTTGTGTATCATTATAATATTAAGTTGACAGCTTGTCGATTAAAAAAATATAGACGAATGTCGATAAGAGCACAAGTAACATTCTCAATACGTGTCGCTTTACTATCAACAGAATGAAAGATACGACACTCCATGTGTATTCACACACACCTCGTTTGATCTAAAGCAGTTTCTGTCTCTTGTCTTCCGGCTTGTAAAAGGTAAGATAGTTTATGGTATTCTAATAGAGTGATAGCTATGTTTAGATATATTGTTTTTAAAATCATAATCATATTATTTTGTTACATTTTATTAACTTACTGTTGAATAAGACAATTACATATTACGATAATTTACTACAACCGCTTCAGCACTTTTTTAAATATTATTGTTTCTGCTTCCTACATAAGCTGATTGCTGGTATGGGTAATATGTTAAACGTTGTAATTTTACAATGCTGTGTCTTTATTCAGACAGGTATATCTTGCATATACGGAAATGAGAGAACGTTCTTTTTGTATAAGTTGTCACTGAAGCGAACCCTGCATTCATTGCTTTGGGACATGATATCCTAAAAGTTTCAATCATTTTGATAGTTTGGTAAACATTGAAAAAATTATATAAAATTTCCTCAACCAATCAGATAACAGAAAATGCGGAATGTTTCAAAATAAGCAGTTTCATACACACCCACGTTTGTCATATGTGGTGTTACTGGATAAATAAACATGTCTTGTCTTTCACCATACTTCGAACTTGTATACCCCACAACAGTGTGTGACCCACTCAAGATAATGTCGATGAAAACAAAATGAAATAAACATATCCAGTGTGTTTTAACCAAAAGCAGTTATTGAAACGTATTTTCGAGATTTTGGAAATAAATGTTCATTGTGCTTTCAAAACAAATTTTGCACTTTTTATTCGTACAAAACTGATAAAAAAACATGATGGCGAAAACTTCAGAAAAGAAGGGAACCACACAAGCTAACTTTTTGTTTAAAATATCACACTGTGCATCCCTCAATAAGTGATAAAGTAAATATTTATAATTATATTGAACTAGATTGTATACAATAGGTAGGAATAGTTTTTTTTTAACAATTATATAGATAGTTACTATTCTATACTTTTTGCGTATTTAGTAACTGGATTAAATTTTGCTCAGGTGTAAGATATGGACTATTTTTTGCAAAATGGTTTACTAGAAAACAATGAGCGTAAGATCATTTAAATTCACTTTTAGATGCATGAACGATGTTTGTCTTTAATAATAAAACATATATCTATCACATATATTCTCTCCAAATCAAAATAAAGGACACCACTGACTTTTTTACGTCCATCGTTAACCTGACATACTACTAAGCTGTATGATAAACTAGATGTTTTCGATGTTTTGTTTTGCTTTCCACACATAAGGCTGCGTTGATTCAAACGTAGCAGACAACCTTAACAGGTATGACTTCTCCAGAGATGGATACTACGAAGATTGTCGGCAAGTTTATGGTCGATAATTGTTTATGAAACTATTTCCTTGTGAAATGTTAGTCGACGTTTCTGATAATGCTTATCTGTGTGCCCTGAAGTTTTGTTTTGTTTTCTCTACTCTTGTCCTAGTGGAACATAATTTTCTTGAATGTGACCTATATTTACATAACGGTCGTCATTGATGTTATTTTACTTTTCAAAACGTCTGATCTTATTCTCCCTTTTCCTTGTGATGGGTCCTCCTGGGCCCAGTTGTTCAGAACGGGGTTAGCGTAATCACTGTTTAACGTCATTTTTCAACCTTTAATCATTCCCTTAATAAACAAGATGAAATCTCACAATTTTGCACGTAAGTTCACTCTAGTAAATATTTGTCAAAACAAGTGTGTACAACATTTATGGAGACTAACTTGAGATGTACAGTTTGTCAAAACACGTGCGTACAACATTTATAAAGACTAACTTGACATGTTCAGTTTGTCAAAACACGTGTGTACAACATTTATGAAGACTAACTTGAGATATAAAAATGGGATGTACAACGTCTTTAGAGTAGTAATAGTAATTTGACGGCTGATATGGGCCATCGTAATTTTGATATCGAATTTGAGGTCTGATTTTGTCGTTGTTTAATTTAAACTTTATTTCATTATCGGTATAATATTACTGTAATGCAAACATGATATACATAAAGGATTCGAAAACAAGTACAAAGTACTTATGTTAATCCGTCTCCTTTGTTTGTAAAACGGCGATTGGACGGCACTGACGAATATTATGCATATATATATAAGTATATGAAGAGAAGAGGTGGGGGGGGGGCGGAAGAAGGGAAAGATGTGCAAAAGTGTTTGAAGAAAGTATTTTTGGGGGTAACATGTAAAGGGAGTACATTTCATTTACTGAATTATGGGAGGAAAAACTGAATGGAGTATATTTTAGATATCGACACATGTCGAGGACTGTACATGTCACTGTGGTATTCATTACACAATAATTTAATTGCATATAATGAAAACTTTCCATTCCGATCCTTGAGTATTCCTACATCAAGTTGTGAAGAACAACCTGGTGTAACTTAAAATATTAAAAGTATCATCAAATAAGACTTTGACGGTTTGTAAATATACGTCCATACTGACGTGTCGTGACATACAGGGGCCGTACCAGTTGAGTCCAATTATGTTCCACCTGTAAATATAAGTGTAATCAAAATTGAGAAATTCAAACCTTATTATCGTTGCGACTGGTTCATATTGGACACAGTCGAAAATATTCTCATTTTATTTAACTGACATATCAGGATTTCCGTACAGAAAAAGATTTATATTATAGTCGGGAGGAAGGCTTCTGAAGTATTGTACTTTTAATTGTTGGTATTTCGGACAGAAGAGGAGGAAGTGTTCGGTAGTTTCAGCAGACTGAAAACAAGTAAACATGGGACTACCAACTAGGTTTCGTATATATAAATGACTAAAGAGATAACTACAGTTCATACTTAATCGTGCCTGATGAATTTGGCCGAATCTACTTCTGCAGTCGTAATAATAAGGCGGAACAAGATGAATTTCAGCATTCAAGAGCTTTTTAAGATTAGTATTCGACGGGTTAGGCTTTATGTTATCGGAAAGTGCATTCCATAGGTCAATATAAGAGGGTAAGAAAGAATCCTTGTGAAGCTGGGTTCTACATTTTATTTGGCAGTTATAATTTGCGTTTCTAGTATTGTGAGAGTGCAAGACAGAATGACGAGCAGGATGTATGTTAGTTAGATAGGAGGGGCACTGACCATGGACAATCTTATGGTTGACACACTCTGTCGTTGTTTGATGACGCTACGGTATTCATGTATGCTAAACAGCTCAGTCGCTTTAATCGGTCATTGAAATAATCACGTCGTATTAGCTGACATTTGCTTTGATTAAATATTTCACATAGATGCTGGACGAGATTTTCGTTAAAATCATCTCCAACAATGACTATCTGGTGTAATCAGAAATGTAAAAGAGTCTTTCAAATCAAGGTATGTTGGATATGGATATTCTACCTGAGGCTGTAAAATTTAAGTTAGAACTCACCCGATGGCAGAATGGCATCAAATATTATAATAGTAATTGAATCGTCTGTTCTTACCATTTTACTTTACAACCCAGACCTAGCAATATTTTGTTAACTACATGTACTATTGATATTTGAAAACCATCGGAATTATCTTTTCTCAACTGCAGATAATGTCACTGTAATCAACATCTATGAAGATTTGTCTATACCGCAATAAATAAAATCTTCATAGATGTTTATTTTGGGGCGACATATTACAATTTGAATATGAACATTTCACACCAATTCGTTTCTTATTTACACTGATATTAACTATATTGCGTTACGATATGCATTGGTATATTACTTCATCAGTACTATTGAGAAAAACTTTAATATCATACCTTTTGTCATTCCGAAAACATTCACAAATATATAACTTTAAGAAACTATCAAAATACAATGAAAATATAATAGCAAAACATAAACTCACAAACCAGCACTAAAAACCGAATATGTTACGAGGTGATTCCAGAATGGCCCATGTATTTCCAGGCATTACTTTTGTTTTAACAGCGTCATGGTACTGGCTCTATTTTTCAACAAAATAACGCACCATCGCATACCAGTCACGTCAGCACAATTTCCTGTAGCAAAACACATAGGAGTAAATATTACGATCCACATCTTTGCTCGTTAATGTGTTCATACGAAGGTACAATTATAAATTCCAATGACGTCACGATGTTTACCAATTCCGTGGATTCAGTTTTTATCGCCGCATGGATTACTGCCCCGAACGGCTGATATAGTAACGACAGAAGGACGGTATATTTCAAGACTAAAATATCTTTGCCGAAATAGCAAGAGGCATATACCTCTATATACTACGAATCTGTATTAATTATTTATGGTTAACATTGTGATTACGTTATATTAGATTCATGTGTTAGTGTTTGTCTTAGTCTTTATAACGTCTAACGATGTTTAAAGCTGTGCAAAAACTCAACCCAATGTCGGAAATCCTAAGTGGAAAACTTGTAAATTGTAGTGATGAATATCATTACATAAGAATGCTTAAAATTGAAATTCGTATATAATTAGAAGTGCTGTCAATTAGTGATGAATTATCATAAGGGTCAGGGGTATTGTATTATAAACAAGAGGAGCAAGGGAAACATACAAATTACATTTGAGAAAGGTCCATCTAGTATCTAGAGATAACAACATCTAACTGTCAAAATCAAAGTTAGCCACCAGGTGGCCTTATTATATTCGATCAATCTCCAAAGCATATATGCACAACTAGGGAATATGGGGGACTTAAACATCATTTTTAAATGAACGTAGGCGTTCCTTTAGTTTTGGTATGGTAGTGCAAATCCAAAAACGTCAAAAGTTGTAAAGAAGGTTAACATCCGTTGGTAAAAAATAGCCCTATCCCCCTGCGAGACGACACATGCAATACAAATAAAACTATTATTATTTCCATTCCGCATCCATTGACTAAATAAAAATGAATCAGTGCTGTCAGATTACATATATTGCTGTCTCATCAGTGATAATAAGTTATTATTTATAATGATTTAAAGCTGCAATTACTTTATCCTATATGAGAACCTTAACACACCTCAACACACTTCTACTTTTCGCAATGAACATTTGGTAATAAAGACGTATTTCACCCCGT